AATGTAATGCTGGGATGTGAACCAGGTCAGTTCAATTCAAGAAAAAAATGTGCTAAACCAGGCACGGTGGCACACTCCTGGAATCCCAGCTACTTTGAAGGATAAGGCAGGAAGATTGTAAGTTCAAGGCCAGCCTAGGCAACTTGGCAAGACTCTGTCTCAGAATAAAATTTTAAAAGAGGGCTAGGGATGTTGCTCAGTGGAAGAGGACGCGCTTAGCATGTGAGGCCCTGGGCTATTCCCCCAGCACTGAAATAAACACACACTAACGCTTTACATACAGATAGGTCTGGCCCCAGTCTGAATTGCTGAATTCCTATGGTGGCCATCTAACATGGCTAAAGCCCTTAAAACAACAGCTTGTCTTCCCAATGACCTGGATATGATTTCTTCACACCTTTCCCGTGCACACAGAGGAGACGCCAGTCAGCTCCTTACATGTAATTAAAACTGCCCCTCAAACTCCACCCTAGAAAAAGTCCATAGCAGCCTCAGCTTTCCTTGTCTCAGGCCAGGATTCCCCCCATCGTCTCTCAGATTATATGTCTTTTGAGTCAATAAAGGCCTCTTTGCTATCTCTTTACTGTGCTGCCAAAAACTAACACATGTCATGACATTTATTCAAACCACTTTTGCAAAGTCCTCCAAAATTTTAAAGATCTTGAGAATGAATGACAGCACAAGCCGATGTCCCTAGAGTAGTTACTATGGCAAGCCTGTCCCTGAACACAGGCAGGGTACTGAGTGAGAGTATGTCCTGGTGATCCTAGACTGGCCATGGGGCTCAAAGCCAAGGGCAAGGGAAAGGGAAAGAAGCCGTCAACAACTGGGACTCAGCACATCCCCCTGAGGAGCCACAGGAAGCCAAGCCTTGGTTCTGCAGTCCGTGCTCACTATTCCAGTCTCCAAAGGGAAAAGATTTGGGGGCGAAGGAGGCCTTGGCTGAGTGGACGTAGCTGGAGATTTCCCTGTCCTTCCTCCCTCCCCTCTGGCCTCAGATCACAAGCTGAGAGGGACGGCTGCCTGGAGAGACACTCCTGGCGTAAGTGCCTCTGCAGGAAGACTCTGCTGTCAATTCCTCCTGGACATCTGCTCAGCTAGGGGTCTCATTCATCTGCTTTGTATCTTCCTGATCAGAGGAGAGGACAAATGAAGAGAGAAGGAGGCAGCGAGAAGGAAGAGCAGGCTGCATCCTCAGCCCTAAGCGAAGTCGCAGAAAACACACAGAGTACAGTAAGGTAAGTGTGGTGAGGCTGCAGGTGTCCACCCAGCTCCTCGCTTGGGCACATCAGTGTCCAGTGAGTGTGTCTTCCTTACTCACACCCACAGGGCAAGCTTGGGTGCCCAGGGCATTAAGGCTCCTGGAAGCATCCCACAACTTGTGTGATGGGAGCCAGAGAACACACATCCCAGCCCCTTTACCCCTCACTGGGCTTCCTTCCCACAGAAATGGGTAGCCTGAGAGATAGCACACCCTTTAATTACTCTCCTTTACCTCTTCTCTTCAGATTCACTGTGGTATCCCCTCCAAGAAAACATATGCACTGGACTCACTGTCACGAAGTCTGTCTGTAGGGAAGCCCAAGAAGGGATGACAGATGACACGCCCATGGGTCAGTGGTCACCAAAGATGGCTTGGTCAGATCTCACTTTTAGCCACAAGGCCCAGGATCCTGGACATCCAAGATCTAAAGGGTTCCTCTGACCAGTGCAATTTCAGGTCCAGAGAATTCAGAAACATAAATAGCCAGCCCACTAGCCACAAATATCACTTCTGACTGAACACATATTCTTTTTTTTTGGATCACATCAAACACTGCTCATGAGAATCAATCAGATTTTGTCACACAAGATTCTCTGCCCACGCGGGGCACTGTGGCACTCTAAGAAGCTAAGGCAGGAAAACCACAAGCTCTCACCCAAAGTGGGTACTTTAGCAACATAGTGAGACCTTGTCTCAAAATACAAAATAAAAAAAGGCCAGGGATGTAGCTCAACGTGAAGGCCCTGGGTTCCATGCCTAGTACCACCACCATCACCAAATAAGAAAAGATTCTATATCCAGACATGACTCAGAATTATCTCCATGAAGAGCATGCTAGCTTAAGTATGCACCTTCCCAGAATGGCTCCATTCAATGCCGTCACCATGGCAGTGCGACACTGGATGGCCACGTCCACTGTATACCAGGCATTTGCACAGCCAGGCCCACAGCAGCTATGCCATCTCATCACACCATCATCAGCCCAGCCCACGAGTGGGAAGACCAAGCCCAAGACCCACATCTGGCGAAGCTCCAACAGCCAAACCTCTCAACCCTTGAGCACTCCTGGCGTTCTGAGTGAAGTGCAGAGTCCCTAGATGAGCACCTCCTCACACCCTGGCTGGAACAGACTCTCCTACGCTGAGGCTTAGGACATCTGAATCGGTGAGGCTGGGGCCCGGGAGCCGCACGGTCTCACTCTTGGGGGGATACTGATGCTTACTTATTAGAGAATAGCTACAGTAATGGAAACCCCTCTCCTGTTTGTAGCCCCCAAAGTGGGGTTCAGTGGGGACCAGGGTAAGAATCCCCAAACCAGCCACTTGTCACCTCTGCCCAACATTAGATCCAGATTGTCATCACCTCTTGCCCAAAGATAGCAAGTGGTCATAACAGGTGCCAGGGCTCTTTTTGTCTTTTGTTCCCAACTTTTTTTAATAAACATTTTCAGAATACAGAAAAACTGAAAGAACCATAGTGAACACCTTTAGTTCTATCACCCTGGTTCTACAGTGTGCAGTTATTGCTATTCATAATTTTACAATCATTTTTAAATATGCTATTTAAATTTTTTTTATTCATTTATTTATTTGAAACAGGGTCTCACTACACAGTTCAAACTTGTAGTAATTCTCATGTCTCAGCCTCCCTGGTGCTGGGATTACAGGTGTGTGCCACCATGCCTGTTTCAGGGCCAGCATGGCATGACAGGGATACCGGGGATCGAACTCGGGTCCTTCTGCTTGCCAGGCAGGCACTTAAGACTGCTGAGATATCTCCCCAGCCAAATATGCTATTATTTTGCATTATTACATATCTGTCTAGTTATCTTTCCATGTTTTTCAAGTGAATTTCAACACATTGCAGGTATCAGTAAATGTCCCCCTAGTCATCCATTTGGATTGCTGTAACAAAATTACTATATATTGGGTGGCTGATAAACAGATGAAATGTATTTCTCACATCCTAGAAGCTTGGGAGTCCGAGCCGAATGCACTGGCAGATTTAGTATATGGTGAAGGCCTTCGTCATCACGTAGAAGGGACAAGGTGGCTCTCTGGCAACATTTACAAAGGGACAGTGTCAAGAATAGTCAGAAACCTTTCCATCCCTTGCCTTTCCAGATGTTACTATCACACAGCACCTGGAAAATGACAAAGTGCAGCCTTGCTCTGCAGGGGTGCAGGACAGACCATGTCATCTCCTAGCCACCAGAACTGCCGCTTGTAATAGGCTTACCACCCACCAGGCCCTTCAACAAGGTGGACACCTGGCCCTACACCTGGATAGTGGTACACACCTGCTGGGAGAAAGCAGGGAGCCCCCTTACACAGACAGGACGTGGTGGGGTGACTGGGCCCAAGGCCATTGGTAGCATGGATCACCACATTGGCTCCCATAGGAAGGGGATTTTTATGAGACCAATGGAGGTCAAGCTCCCCTCCCCCAGGTTTCTCCATCTCCTATGCCTGTGTCTGCACCAGAACTGGGAAGGAGAAAAGGGAAGATGGAAGAGAAGAAGAAAGGGAGAGAAGGAGGAGAGAGGGAACCAAACTAGTGATGCACCTGGAAGGCTTACTAGGGTGCCACCCTAGCAAAGCCAGGAAGGCCAGGTGTGCAGACGTCAGATTCTCTGTATCTCCTGTGAGGAAGAATAGAACCTTGTAAGTTGGAACTTACTGTGCCCTTTAAGCTGTAAGATTCTAGACAGCTGAGATAAGGTTCTACCTTAAAGACTCAGTGATGTCAGATATCCCAGGAGAGGTGCAGAAAACATGCAATCCCTCTGGGTGCTGTGACGGGCAGGCTGCGTGCGGTGAGGGGTGGGGCCGGGACAACAGTGGGCACAGCTGATACCTGCCATTCTTCCCTCCTGCAAATTGCTCAGCATACAAGTGACTTTGCTGCTCTGTCCTGCTGCCTCCTACTAGTGCCATCTCCCTGATAAATGATGCAATCTGCCTCAGTACCTTCTTAGAGAATTCAATCTAAGACAGGGATAAATTACATACACACATACACACACATACTCAGTGAAACCATCCTTCTTGGGCCTCATGTTTAAAACCTGCAACCACGTACTAATAAAAATTTTAAAAATTAAAAATAAACAAGCAAAACCTGCATCCAGGGCTCAGGTGTGCCTCAACTGCAGAGCACATGTTTAGCAAATCAAATCCTCGACCAAGAGACACGCCTTTGAGATGTACCTAGTGTGTTCATGTAAAATAACCACGCCTTCATCACAGAGGGGCTTCTCATGGCTGAGTCTTTCCCTCCAGACCCCAGTACCCACAGCAGGTACAGAAAGAGATGCCCATCTGTGCCCCATGGGGACTCAGCCAGGCCCCCGGGTGAGCTCCCCAGCAGCCAATCATATTTTCCTGGGTAGCACAGAGGAAAGAGGTCAATGTAACCATTTGCCTTGCCCGAGAAGCATCCAGTCCTCTTGCCCTTACTTTTCTTTCCAGCAAAATCAATTTCTGAAGTCAAAATGACTGATAGCTTTATACCCTGGACAATCATTCTCCTGATTAAAGAAGTCAACATCAATGACAAAAAAGCTTCTACAGTGGTGGTGGTTACATAAATCTGTATCTGTGCTAATTAATATTCACAAAAACACACACATAGACACACACACAGACACACCCAAAGTTTTTAAACAGTAAAATGAAATCAAAGTGCTCCTTCCTCAGTAATGCCTGCAGGAAGAGACATCACACAGCTGGCTTACCTGTGAGCTGGGAATCAGGGCCTTCCACCAGTGCCCGCCCTTCACCAGGTCTACTTCACACAAAGGCACAGACACTTTGCCAATGACACAGTGGCGTGAGAACTTATCGAAGTCTACCACGGTCAGGAGCAGGGTCCGCCTCTGGGCTTCTAGGAAGGGGATCTCGAAGGTGTAGCGCTCCTCAAACACAGGCTTCTGGGTCTTGCGCTTGACCCCTGTCTGCTTAGAGTTCTTCTGGTCGGGTAGGAGGCAGATCTTGACGTAGGGGTTGGAGTGTGCCATGTCTTGGCGAGAGCCATCATGGGCAATGGGGGGCGGCAGGTCCCGGGCCTCAATGACCCTAACGGTGAGGTGGTTGTGTAGTAGGTCGTACTGTGTGCTGAAGTGCAGCATGCCCAGCTGGTACTTGGACAGGATCTCCTCATCAGTCAGAGCATCCACGTCGTCACTGCCAGAGTCCAGGGAGTAGAGCCGGGGCTCGAACTTTCTGAAGTAGTCATCAGGGGTGTAGGTCCGTCGGAGAACCGAGGGCTGGATTGGCTCCTTCTTGGCACTGAGGATGCCAAACTCGATAGGTCTGATATCGATGAGCGGGGAGCTGGGCCGTCTTGACTCAAGACCTAAACAGAGCCAGAAGTAGCAATGGGTATTGCTCCCTGAGCTGGCCAGTGACACCAGCAGCAGCCGACAGGTTCTCACACTGTCCCCTCTGCTTCAAAATGCTCCTCATCTCTGTGCATGTGGGCCTGTACTCATCCCCCAGTGCATGGCTCCAGGACCCCCATGGATAGAAAGACAGGAGGAGAACGCCCAGGCCCTTGTACAGAGCAGTGCAATCCTTACATGTAATGCATGCACATCCTCCCATACAATTTATTTATTTAGTTTTTATTTTGGCAGAACCAGGGATTGAATTCAGGCCCTTGTGCTTGCCAGGGAAGTGCTTATTCCACTGAGCCATCTCCCCGGCCCATAAATCATCTCTAGATTACTTGCAATCTCTAGTGCCACGGAAATACTTTCTACTTGTTGTCTTGTATCATTTAAGGAATGATGACAAGAAATAAATCTGCACTTTTTAAGTACAGAAGCATTCCTCCTCCCCCAACTATTTCTGGTCATGTCTTACTGAATTGGAGCACGCAGAGCCATGGGTACCGAGGGCTGAGTGTGCTCCAATATGTGTGTCAGCATTTCCATCGCTGTCACCAACACCATCATCCCAGCAGCGAGGGGTCAGGCACTGTTCTAGATGGACCCTACATCCTCAGCTGGCCAATTTCACAACCCCTTGATTATCACTTCTATTATCCCACTGTACACACCAGGAGAGAGAAACTTCAAGTAACTTCCAAAGGTCACGCCCTTCATGCCGGCTCTGCCCCTAGGGCACGCTGAAAGGGTGACAGAGACTGGGTGTGGTGGCACACACCTGTAATCCCAGCTCTTGGGAGGCTGTAACTAGGCAAATCACTATGAGTCCAATCTAGTAGTGAGACCTGAACACCCTATAGACCCTTCCCTAAAATGCAAAAAAAAAGGTCATGCCCTTACAAATAGAGTAGTTGGCTGGCAAGCCAGGCTTTCTGGCTATCACTTTCACCTTGTGCTACTTCTGCTTTGACTGGTGGGACCCACATGCCGGGGGTCCAACTCCTGGCATATGCTGTAGACTCCCTGGATCTCAGTTTCCCCCTTCCGTAAAATAGTAACTTCACAGATAGTAGTGAAGATCACTGAGTTGAGACATGGAAAGGGCTCCACACAGAGCAACAGCCCAGTAAAGGGCAATAACTACACTTCTTAAGGACTCTGCTCAAGCCTCGTGGCTCAAGGCTTCCTCTCCCTCTTTATCAGCCCACAGAGCTCACGGCCCCCAAGCCCAGCATCCTAGCCTGCCCCCCTCTATTCTGCTGGCAAGCTCAATGTATAAGTGTTCACTGTCCAAACAGCTATCTTGTTAGCTAACACCGTGAGACTCTTGTCTGGTGCACAAGAGCTGCAACAATAAACAAGAACTGCAAACCACCTGTGTTCAGAGCTGGGCACAAGACAGAAGTCACCTAAAGCAGCACTGCTCAGAAATACAGTGCAAGGAGCCAGGGAGATGGTTCAGTGGAATAAGTGCTTCCCTGGCAAGAGCAAGGGCCTGAGTTCAATACCCGGTTCCACAAAAAAAAAAAAAGAAAAGAAAAGAAAAGAAAAGAAATACAGTGAAAGCCACACAGGTGACTTAAAATGTTCCAGAAATCATAACTTTTTAAATGTACAAAGAAATAGGTGGAATTTAATTTAAATAGTTGCTATTATTTGGTCTACTAGTTGACTGTCCCTAATCCAAAAGTACAAAATGTTCCAAAATCCAAAACTTTTTTTATTTTAGAGATAATAACAAAACAATGAAAATGATAAAGACTCTCAAAACAAGATGATAGAAAATTAACAATGGTTATTATACTGTGTGTTGTCATCAAAGTAGTTGTTCAGATCACCAGATACACATATACAAGACCGATCAAACAATACAAGTGCTGTCCTTTCAGTGAACCCGCCTCCCCGCCAGCCCAGCTGTTCTTTCCTTTCGAGCAATGTCTACTTTTTGGGTGCTGATACCCATGCCACAGGACAAAACCACCTTGGCCTCATGTGGCAGGTGGCAGTCACAACGGAGGCACACTCAGAATGTTATATAAAACTACCTCCAGGCTATGCACAGGCGGTCGAGAAAGATGAATTTCATGGTTAGCCGTGGGTCCTATACCCAATATTTTATGATGTATATGCAAATATTCCAAAATCCAAAATCTAAAATGTTTCTGGTCCCAGGCATAAGGGACATTCAATCCGTACTTCCAAAATGTCATTTTGCCAGGCAATCAACAAAAAATATTTTAGAGAGGTACTTTAAATCCTCTTTCTCACACTACTTTAAAAGTCCAACGTGTGTTTTACAGTCACACCATCTCGGGACCTGGCCTTACGCCACTTCCGTGCCAACAGCTGTGTGCAACTGTCGGCTGTCGCACTGGACAGCACAGATGGAGGACAGGCCTCTCATTTCGCAGACAGAGCAAGACCTCCAGGAATCCAGCATCCTCCAGGTCTCCCTGCTGGAAGCCCCCAAATTTCTTTTTTCTCCTTCTTTCCCCACCCGCTCCTAGGGAAGGTCAGATACCAGTTGTCCCCACCTGAGTAGATCTGGCTCACGGATTTGAGGCATTTTCCCCCACTATGTGAATCTCTGACAGCAGCTCAGTGAGACAGCAGATACTTCTGCGCTGTGGCAGAAGGCTGGAGTCCCTGGTCTGTGTCTAATCGCGCCATTTGGCCACGCACATGTGCTACACAACCAAGCAAAGCGGGTGGCTAAATTGGTCTCGCAATTATATTGTGTTTAGGTTTAAGGTGAGGCATTTTCATTTACAGTGCCAGTTCCTCTTCAGAAAGATCAGATAACACTGGGCCCCTAGTCCCACGCAGCCACCCACGGCAATACTGGAGTAGCAGCCACCTGCTCCATTCAATAGGACACTAACTTTCCAGCTGGCCACAGTAGCCTCACTGCCTATTACCTCTCCACACAGAACATCAGCTACCCTCTGTCACTGCACATGGCCAATGTTTACCTCCACTAACTGTCTATGCCCAGCCCCTGGTGCGCACCGGGGGCCCTGAACTGGCAAGTCCTGCTGTCTAACCAGGTGGCAGGACCTAACCTAACACAACTGTGATCAGGAAAGGGCTAAATCAATCCAAATGATCACTTCTGACTGACCTCAGCAGAATCACGTAGGTTGGCTGACACTCTCTGGTGCAGTGTCATGACCCCTTCATTACCTGCCTCCTGGACCACTGCCGCACTTGATTTTCTCCTCCCACCAACCTGCCCTCCCAGCCCTCCTTGGAGATGCTGCTTGGTGTCTGGGAGAGCCAGACGGGCCCCAGCACAGACACTTACTGGAAATCCTCCGGGTCAGGCTATACGTGGACTTGGATGTGTCTGAGGACGAGCGCCTGCCATCCGGGGAGCTGGTCCTCGGAGTCAGCGGGACATCACTGGCTGTGTGGACAGAGTCACCGTCCTTGTCACTGCTCCGGCTGGCTATCCTGTGGAGGGGAGGAGGTCTCAGTGGCAGCCAAGGAATCCAAGGTACATGTGTGGGCCCCATCACTGTCACCAGTTCCTATACCTCACAGACCAGGAGTCAGGAGCAAGCAGAGCCAGCATTCAGCAGCAGAGCCCAGAGACCGTGCCTTGGGGTGAAAGAGTCATAGCATGGTGCCTCTCAGACTCTTTGGTGTGAAATGGGACAATGTAAATTGGAAATAGTGTTGCATCCTTAAACACTCAACAATGTTGGGCTCTTTGCACAAAATGCACAGGGGTATGAAGAAAGGCTTCCCAGTTTAGAACCATCAGTCAAGAATCTGTGTGACAGGCTGGGAAGATGGCTTAATGGAATAAGCGCTTCCCTGGCAAGTGCAAGGGCCTCAGTTCAATCCCCAGTTCTGCAAAAAAAAAAAAAAAAAAAAAAAAAAAAAAAAAAAAGAATCTGCATGACCTCAGTGCTGGAGTTGAGCAGAGGAATGGGTGAAAAGAGCTGAGCTACTAGCACTCAAGGGCGCAGAGGGAGCCATGTGGAGACCTGTCAATATTGAGTCTAGGAGCCATGTGGCTGTTTATATGCATCCAAACTTTTGTGAGAAGCCACTGCACTATAATTTAACATCTTTAAAAAATATTCTAGAAGAATATCATTCAAGGGCTCTTTGAACGGCAGGGAGAGAGCTACAAAATGACCCTGAGAATCAGTGATTTAGAAACAGAAACTCAGTGTAGAGAAACAGCTATGAATGAGCAGCAGCAGCAGCAGCAGCTGTGACACAATACGCTCCCAAGGAAGCCGAGAGATGCTAAGAGGCTGGGGAAGGACAGCAGACAAGGAAGGAGGCAACTCAGGCAGTAATTAAGAACACAGACCAGGGCCAGCCAAATAGCTCAGCAGATTAAAGCACCTGCAAGCAGGCGCAGGGGCCTGGGGCTGGATCCCTGGGCCTGCCGCGCTGCCCCACCCCCGGGGCATGCAGAGATGGCAATAGAAACTGGGTGTGGTGGCTCGCTCCTGTAATCCCAGCTCTTGGGAGCCTGTAAACAGGTGGATCGCTATGAGTCCGATCTAGTAGTGAGACCCTGAACATTCTGTAGACCCTTCCCTAAAATATATACACACACACACAGACACACACACACAGACACACACACACAAACACATACACACACACCACAGGCTTCTGGCTGGAACTCTGAGTGGGTGATGTTGAGCAAGTCCCTTCCTTTCTCTGTTCCTCTGTTCCCCCACTGTACCACAGTCTATACCAATCAAATATGAAGTTCTAGAACAAAGCTGGGTGTGGTGAACCATGCCTGTAATTCCAGTGCTCTGGGAGACTGAGGCAGGAGGACTGCAAGTGTGACTGGAATCCAGCCTGGGTAACTCAGTGAGACCTTGCCTCAAAAGATAGAAAGGGCTGGGAATGCAGCTCAGTGTGAAGGCCCTGGGTTCAAGCCCCAGTTCCACTGGGGTGGGGGGAATATCTAGAACAGTGCTTGGTGTTGTAGCTGATAATACCACAGGGATGGCTTTAGATCCTCTAAATACTCATCAAGCCAAGAAGGATCCAGGCAAGCGGGTGACGTGGGCATGAGGTGCTGCTGATAACGCGCCCCTCAGCTGTGATGGCCAAGGACTGGCACTGCCCACATTGCGTCCCCTCAACTTGACATTTAAGCCTGTGGGAAACTCAGCTTAAAACATGCAAGTTTTGCCTTCTATGAGGTCTTCAGATGCATCCTGCATGTGAAGTGAGACCAGCCTGCTGTGCTTTAAAGTGACAGCAGGTCCTAGGCAGGACAAGCCCAGAGCTGCTGTAAGAAGGAAGTGGGCGGTTGGCTTGCTCTCTGCTCCTTGCCTAAGGAGGTGCAGGGAAGTGGGGGCCAGGGCATGGGGCCAAACTGCAGTGATCACCCTCCCCACAAAATGAGAGGAGCAGCTGCTGAGCACGGTGAGCACGCCTAGAATCCAGGCACTCTGGGAGCCTCAGGAGAAGGGTTCCAAGTTCAAGCCCAGCCTATTAAAAACATAGCAAGACCATGTCTTGGAAGGGACATGGAGGGAGGGAGAAAAGGAGGGAGGGAGGAAAGGAGGAAGGAAAGAGGGGAGGGAAGGAAGAGGGCAGGGAGGGAAGGGGGAATAGAAAAAGAGCAACAATACCTCCCAAAGGCAGAACCCAGATGTCATGGTCTCTGGAGCACCTGCCCCCTATGTGGCCCTGCTCCCAGCTGCCATACTTCATTGCGGCAGCCACCCCTGCTGTGAGCTCCCACCAGCCTTCCAGGAAGAGCATGAACATCACCTGATGCTGCCAGACACAACCACAGCTCCACAATAACACGCTGAACATGCCGTTCCCTCCACCCAAATGCCCTTCCAGTCCCCTCTGTCTGGCTCCTCATTGTCACTCAGGCTTCTGCCTCAGGGGTGTCTCCAGTCTTCCCTAGCACCTGCTCCCACTCCCTCTTCCTACTCCTGTCCTCTCTTCCATTCTACACATAGCTGTCATCAGCAGTGGTGCCGTGGCACCACGTGCCCGAGGCTCAGCCACTGAGCTTCCCATGGCCCACTTCGCCCAGCACAGGGCCTGCACATGGGGATGATGTTCTGCCTCTCTCTTCTTGGTGAATGAATGAATGAAATCACTCTCCTTGTGCTCCTTAGCTGGCTCAGCCTGTGTCGCATTTATCCAAATGCACGTCTTGCCACCCCCCAGACACCAGGGTACATATTTTGTGTGGTACTGGGGGTTGAACAGAGATCCTCTACACTGAGCTACATCCCCAGCCCTTTTTTTTAAATTTTGAAATGGGGTCTTGCTAGTTGACCAGGCTGAGCTTGAACTTGTGATATTCCTGTCTCAGCCTCCCAGAGTGCTGGGATTATAGGCAGGCACCACTGCACCTGGCTCAGGATACACTCTGAATGATTGGATGTATACTCCTTATGGTCAAAGACACTGTGCTAAATGCCCCACGCACACCAGCTCATTTCACCCTTCAAACAACCGGGGAGCTAGCTGTCAAGAGCACCTCTCTCTCATGGATGGAGCAGGAGTGGGCAGGCTGTGGGAGAAGGGACAACCGATTCGCACCACCGCAGAGTGGGAGAAGCACTGGAGCAAGTGGTGCTGAAGGAGGGACAGCACACTGCTGGCCCAGGCTGGGTTTCTGCTATGGGACCTGTAGGAGCCGAGCACACACGGCGCTCAACACAGGCTCCAACTAATAAACAACTACCTCTCTGTTCATCCTGTAACAGTGGTCCTTCTGTCATTCACCTAAAAGTAGCCAGTAATACATGATGGGGCAAACCCATGATCCCCACTACTCAGGAGGCTGAGGCAGGAAGACTGCAAGCTGAATGCCAGTAAGATGCTATCTCAAAAATAAACATAAAAGGGTTGAGGGTGTAGTGCAGTGATAGAGTACCTCCCTAGTCTATGCAAGACCTAAGGTTCTTGTAGGAAGCTGCGTGTAGCCGTGCCCTAGGATGGCGCCAGTTTCCGCCTTCCACCCTCTCAGGGGGTGAGCGCTCCTAGTAATAAACAACTCCATATAAGGCCAAGGCTTGGGCTAATGCATTGCTTCCGCATACCTGGACCAATGGACAGTACATACGTGGCACCCCATGATTGGAAGCCCTGAGACTTATAAGCTAAGAGCAGGGGCCTCGGGGAGAGAGAAGAGAAACGTAACAGGGCAATAAAAGGCTGCGCAGACACAACCAGTGGTCGCGTCTTCCTTGCTGGCAAGGCTGCGCGCGACAGGTTCTGTCCTTAGCACTGTCAGTGATATTCTTCAGGGCTCCTGATGGGTGCTAGCCCAGTCTCAGCCAGCCCAGGGAAAGGTGGGGCCATGTGACATAAGCACGTGTAACACCCGATGGTGACTGCCCATGAGCACCCACAGCCCAGCCCATCTGCCATGCACTGCTCCACAGAGCCGTGGCCCCTGTTCATGGCCTAGACATCACCGTAGGCACAGCACTGCAAAGCCTACACACTTGACATTTCTCCTCCCTGCCTGTGTGATAACAGGAAACTGCTCACTTAGTAAATAAATCTGTGGAAAGCATAAGCTGCAAATCCACTTTCTCAATTATTTAACCCTCCTCTCCTTTCCACATTTCTCTTGCCATTCTGAAGGATGCTGAGTGCCAAAAATGAGCTAAGTGCTACTCTGGTTTGGGGCAGATCTGTAGAGTGTGGAGGCCACACCCGGCACAGCTCGAGATAAGGCCCTTCACAAAGACTACCTTGTGAGTGCCACTTGGAGCTGTGTGGTGCGCCGATTCCAGTACGAAAGCTTCAGGCTACTTCTCTGCTGTGAAAAACCAAAGTAAGTGTCTGCCCAAAGGTTCCAATCCCTTTGCTGCCCACAGAGAATTCCCTGCTTGCACAAAGGGTCAAGGCCAAACACAGCTGCCCTCCAACTCGATGTTAGACTTAGGCTGTGCACTTAGAATCCTCAACATCTGGGTATCTGGGGCCAACAGGCACCTGGCTCTGATCCCAGCGCTCACGGCTGGGCTGGCAGGCTCATTAGCATGGAGGCGTGGTGTCTGTTCCCTCCTCTCTGGTTACATACCTGGATCTTTTGCTACCAAGATCAGCAGGCCACAGTTCCCAGTCCCTGGCTGGCTTTGTAAATGAGGTGCTCCTGGAGCACAGCCAGACCCTCACTGCCGTGTCTAATACAGCTGCTGTCATGCAGGGGACAGCAGTTGTCATCACAGAGGTCATGGGGCCAATCAGGTGAAAGCCCTGCCATCCGGCTTGATAGCGCAAGTCAGGCAGTCCTGGGTCTCTTCAGCCCAGCCCTTGTGCTCCAGCGGGGAACAGCCCCTTCCTCAGGCAACCTAGTGTGACTCCAGCATCATTCTCTCGGAGGGACAGTGATGGGCATATAATGCAAAGCCAACCAGCAGGAGTCCTTCTGGTCGTCAGTGGGGGCTTTTTGCTGCAAAGATTGTAGAATGCAAGTCTAACACAGTGCTGCCATATGGAGCAAGTAGGCCAATTCAAAGGACACAAGAGGGGACATCTTATGGGTGCCTGGATCCAGCCATGCCTGAAAGCCACTGTCCCTGGATTTTTTTTTTTTTTTCTCTAACAGGCCTTGTGCTGTGTTGTCATACATAACATATAGGGAATAAATGATAGCTCTGGGACAATGGGATTTCCACACTAGCCTTATCTCCTCTTATGTGGAATTAAAGCCCCTGCCCATAGTAAAGGGACCCCATTTAGCCCTGTACAAACCAAGGTGCCTAGCACACAGCATGTACTCAGGAATTAACTACCAAGGAAACTAAGAGCGACTTCAAAGCTGGATGGTTAGCACTTCCAGGGTCAATTTCTACACATAGGTTAGTCTGTTTGGTAGTTTCACTTTTGTTTTGTTTTCAGTAATGAGTATGCAAATTAAGAAGTAGTAAGTTCTATCCCTAGGCATTTTTATTTTGAGGTAGGATCTTGCCAGCTGCCCAGACTGGCCCCACATGAGCTCTCTCCTGTCTCTGCCTCCTGAATAGCTGGTATTACAGGTATGCATTACCACACCTAGCTTACTTTGGTTTGGTTGGTTGGTTGGTTGGTTTTATTGCCTTGAACTTGCCAGATAGCCTGAGGTAACCTCAAACTCATGACCCTCCTACATCAGCCTCCCCTAGGCTTACGGGTGTGCACCACTATCTCCAGCTCAGTCTTTTTTTTTTTTTTTTTTTAGTGAGCAAGACAAAGTTTCCTGCCCTCACAGGCTTGGCATTCTTGTGCACCGGGTAGTCTGGGCTACACTCTGTCACACAGGCCACTGGAGAGTGGGAATTATCTCAACAAGTGAGTTGCTTTCACCCAAATCCCAACTCTGTGCCCACCTGTACAACTAGGGCTACAGCCTATGGGCTCCTTAGCACTGCCTAACATCAGCTTAGGGCACGGGTAGCCTAAATAGGGCACGGGTGTCACATGGCTATCTGTTCATGGGAAGCTCTAAAAGGTTCCCCACCGCTGGCTTGGAGATTCTGCAACCACCTAAAGACAGCAAGAAGCACCCCCCCAAAGCTCTCACTGGTGTGCTAAGATTGCTATGTCCAGATCTTAATTACAGCCCTAGAAGTTCTTTTACTATTGCTACTTTCCCGATAAGAAAACTAAGAGCAAAACAGGGAGAAAGGAACTCTTACATTTATGATCAACAACAAGGTCTCAAACATTATTTCCCTGCATGCAAATTCATCTCCCCCCAACATCCCCATGAGACAAGCCATATTCTTTTATCATCTCACTTTATAGACGGATCTCAAGGCACAAAGAGATCCAACAACTTGCCCAAGGTCACAGAACTAGAAGAACGTAGTAGAAACAGGACCTGATACAGAGCCACCTCGCTACAGAAGTGTTCGGAATTGTTTGCTACCTCAGTTCACAAATTTAATTCTTTCCATGAGAATCACGGGATGAATTTCCTGAATAATGAAGTTGGTAAAGCACCACTGTACTTGCTTCAAAGAAGAGAAAATGAGAGGCCTGGGATTTGATGATGTCCAGAGATTTAGCTGAGCCAGTACTGGCTGGCCCCCTACGGACTCCAACCTCAAGCCCTGGCTCCATCTCTGGTTTTGCCCCCTACCCAGCTATCCCTTGAGTTAGTGCCCAGGCTTTTCCCAGCCCTGGTCTCCCTGCCTCTCCAGCCACAGAGAAATGGACTAGAAGCTAAGAAGCTTCAAAACTGTGTTCCCAAAATATCCAAGCGACTGGCAGATGGAGATGCTGTATGCAGGCGAGGGAGGAGAGAGAATTAGAAATAAAATGAAAGATGCCAGAGAGAACATAAACAGCGTTGGAGGACAGGATGGGTCCTGGAGGTGCTTTCCTGCTTCCCTCAGTTTCAAGTTCTCCATCAGGCCAGCAAAAAGGCACTTGCTTGCTTGTTCTAGCCACCTGTGCATGCAATTCGTACTTACTGAGTATCTATCTAGGTGCCAGCCTTGGGCTGGGTGTCAGGACAACTTACTGCATTGGCTGGGCTGGACACCCAGAAGAATGTGGTCATCACCGAAAGAATGCAATATGCACAAATCTCTTTTTCTGCTTAGAATGCCATTCAGTGTGACTGAGGCCCAACTAAACCCAGCTGGACTACCCCACCCCCGTGCCCTACCAGCTGGTCACACCAGCTTGCCAAATAAAACAAGGGGCCCAGAACACCTCCATCGGCAGCCAAGATGTCTATGGAAACTCAGCCTTACCCTCTCTCACACCCCTGATCACCCTCAGAGAGAGAGAGAGAGAGAGAGAGAGAGAGAGAGAGAGAGAGAGAGAGAGAGAGAGAGAGAGAGAGAGAGAGAGGCAGGCAGGCAGGCAGGCAGGCTTGTGAGGTTGATTTCAAAGCAGTTTTACTCACAACCAGGGAGGAGTCTGGGCTGGGAAAGGTCCCAGAAT